ACATTTTCATTTGATACTACCTTTGAAATGCATACCATTGAAATACCATTTTAAGTTTGGTTACAATACTTTTGACAAAAACATTGAAATAATATTTTGAAATCAATTGGATTATTTTTAATGTATTTTTACATTGTTTGACAAAAGGACATTGTTCCCTGCATCCAGTGAACGCCCAACAGTTCACCACACAGTTCACACTTCACTAACCCACAAGCAATTTGCTAGCTTTGCACCGATTTCTCTCATCATGGAACGATGACTGTATATTGTGGAGTTCATGCTGTAAACCTCGGTGCATCCGCTTCAGCAAAAGCTGTCCAGCATTCTGGAATGCCAAATACTGTATCGCGCATCTTCAGAGTCCACCCAAACTCTCAGGGCAGCCGTATGCAGCGCATGTTATTCACTTCTGATGAATTCCGTGGAGCCCTTGTTCTGCAGTATCCTGCTTCCAGTGAGCGAAAGGATTGACGATCATGTGGATATCGTAAGTATCTTTACGTCCCTGGCTTCCTCTCGAGGCTGGTCACGAGAATTTTGCAACTTCACCTCTCCTTTGTGACCTTCCGTGATTCCTTTTCCACCAGAATGTACTTATCTCAGTCAGGAACCGGACAGAACGTTCAATCTGTTCATGAGTCGCGGTCTGGACTGATTCGTTCTCATGAGCACATCAGAAGTATGAGAAATGCATATACTACTGTATGTCAAGATTCTCACTGGCGAAATCATTGATGGGAACGTCTTGGAGCATGCGGTGTATTTCTGAGCTGAAGATGTCATAAGGTCGTCCAAACGCAGAATGAATATGGCCCTATCTTCCAGTCTTATATCTGCCCGCCTAGCTCAATCGGATAGAGCGTCAGACTCTTAGGCAGGGTATATCTGAAGGCTGCGAGTTCGACCCTCGCGGTGGGCTACTGGCATTGGCTTGCTCTTCTTTTTCAGCCCCTGCCCTTGTTCAAGTCCCTCGCTGACAATGAGAATGAGCTATTCCTTTATCAATAATCTCGTGCTTTGTCCCACACGCACGCATCCTCTCAATAGGATGATACTCATGCTCTAATCAGTTCATAATCAGTGTGAAGAAATATGGTGTCACGAAGGAGAGACAACTTCGCAGATCCACTTGCAAGAAGAGGGAAAAATTGACTTGGATTCGCATTCCATCAAAAGGAGGATGATTGTACTCCGAGAGCGCCGTCATTGAAAATCTGGAACGTTGTAGGTTGTCACAAATATCACCAAAGGTTTAGAACCACGGATCTGTCTTCTTGAGCGTTAAGAGCTCCTTCTCAATCAAGAGATGCACAGGCCAGATGGTACACATAAAACTCAGGGCCCGAAATCAAACGTTTGGCGGAAGATTGCTCAGAGGATAGATAGCATTAATTGAATAGTAATGCATATGTCTTGAGTAGGAATGAGTGAGTCAGAAGGCTACCCTTTCGCTACTTCGAGATTCTTTCATGAACTGAATGGAGTAAAGGCTCAGATGGAAGCAAACTTGAAAACGAAGCAAACGAGTGATCGAGGAGATGATCTGCAGTAAGGAACAAGTGTAAATCATCCAAGATATCAAAAAATCATTCACGATGAGTTCAAGGCAATTACATTGATTTGGAAGACAGATGTCCATTAAATCTGGGGGAAAGGCTTCTGTCAATCGTCTCGGGAAGCATAATCAGATTGTGGACTTCCCAGGCAAATGTCGACGAGAAGTGTTTCCTTATCCTCCCTTAGGCAAGGCCCGGGCGGAATAGGACAAAATAAAATGAAGTCAAGGATGTTCTGTCGGATGACATTCCTACAGTATCTGATTGGGGAGACTAGTGCAAGCTTTTCGAAAACACCCATCCCTGTGGCGGAAACTTCTTGAAAAGCGAGATATCCGCTCTTAATGAAGTCTCAGCTGACAGTACAGACAGTCCATCAAGGCACATCAGTGTCCCTCCAAGTGAGTATGTCCCGAGCGGCTCACATCCGACGACATTTACGACATCCAAAATTCATGCAAAAACAACTTTCCATTAGCCCACCGCGAGGGTCGAACTCGCAGCCTTCAGATGACTCGGAAGGAACACACCTTCTTAAAAGTCTGACGCTCTGGCCGATTGAGCTAGGCGGGCCTGTCGAAGTCAATTATAAGATTCTATACAATGGGTCGGACCGAGGAGTGCGAAGTTTGAATTTGTGACGTATTTCTCCGCTGATCTACTTGAGCACAGAGTTTTAAAATAAATGGACATTGTCGGCAACGTAATTCTACAACTACAACACCGCCCTGACAACCTGAAAAATATGTTTTGAAACACGGCGCACCGGTGCTTCGAGGGCCCGAATGTCCCCTACCCGCCGCAATGATATTTATTGTTGGAAGGAGGTTGTAAACACCGGAAGAATGAAGACAAAATGAACATCGGAGATAGACCCCGTTTGGGCGCTGTGAT